CAGAAGTTGCCTGATGACTGCTAATGACTCAAAAGGGTCCACCTGTGTGTAATCTAATCTCAGTACAAATACAGCTGCTCCGTGACGGCCTCAGATGTTGGTTAAGAGAATATTGGGGAGCAAACAGCATCATGAAGTCCAAAGAACACACCAGATAGGTTAAGAATATGGTTTTGGAGAAGTTTAAAGCAGGCTTAGGTTATAAAAAGATTTCCCAAGCTTTGAACATCTCACGGAGCACTGTTCAATCCATCATCYGGAAATGGAAAGAGTATGGCACCACAGTAAACCTGCCAAGACAAGGCCGTCCACCTAAACTTACAGGCCGAACAAGGAGATCACTGATCAGAGAGGCAGCCAAGAGGCCCATGGTGACTCTGGATGAAATGCAGAGAGCCACAGCTCAGTTGGGGGAAACTGTCCACAGGACAACAATTAGTCGTGCACTACACAAATGTGGTCTTTATGGAAGAGTGGCAAGGAGAAAGCCATTGTTAAAAGAAAACCATAAGAAGTCCCGTTTGCAGTTTGCCAGAAGCCATGTTGAGGACACAGCAAACATGTGGAAGAAGGTGCTTTGGTCAGACGAGACCAAAATTGAACTTTTTGGCCACAATGCAAAACGCTATGTGTGGCGGAGAAAGAACACTGCACATCACTCTGAAAACACCATCCCCACTGTCAAATATGGTGGTGGCAGCATCATGCTCTGGGGGTGCTTCTCTTCAGCAGGGACCGGGAAGTTGGTCAAAGTTGATGGGAAGATGGATGGAGCCAAATACAGGGCAATCTTGGAAGAAAACCTGTTGGAGTCAGCAAAAGATTTGAGACTGGGGCGGAGGTTCACCTTCCAGCAGGACAACGACCCTAAACATAAAGCCAAAGCTACAATGGAGTGGTTTAAAAAAAAGAATATTCTTGTGTTAGAATGGCCCAGTCAAAGTCCAGACCTAAACCCAATTGAGAATTTGTGGCAAGATCTCAAAACTGCTGTTCACAAACGCTCTCCATCCAATCTGACTGAGCTTGAGCTGTTTTGCAAGGAGGAATGGGCAAGAATTGCAGTCACTAGATGTGCAAAGCTGGTGGAGACATACCCTAAAAGACTTGCAGCTGTAATTGCAGCAAAAGGTGGCTCCACAAAGTATTGACTCAGGGGGGCTGAATAATTTTGCACATCGCACTTTTCAGTTTTTTATTTGTAAAAAATGTTTTGATTCATGTAAAATTTTGCTTCCACTTCACAATTGTATACCACTTTGTGTTGGTCTTTCACATTAAATTCCAGTGAAATATATTTATGTTTGTAATGTGACAAAATATGGAAAAGTTCAAGGGGTATGAATACTTTTGCAAACCACTGTATATATATATATATATATATATATATATATATATACACCAGAAGCCCGTACTGAAGCAGCTACAAACCACATCCATTTTAAAATACACACAAAATTTTCCCACAATTCAAACCTTTACACCACTTTCAGTTTTGCATTGCATGCTTTTTCTAGTGGAAATAATATAAATGCTGCACCATAAGTGCTAGAACTAGCTGCTGCTGCTAACTGTGCTTGCAAAGAACCCAATAACAGATTGCTTTCACGTGACGTCACAGTACAGTACAGCACAGCGAGAGCATGAAACGTAGATGGAGGGCAGGAAGTGAAGTAGCGGAGGATCTGCCATCTGAAAACATGCCCATATTTTGTTTACTGCTGCTCCAATTATTCTGAGCAAGAAAATGAAAACAGGTTTTAAAAAGTACCAAGAGTGTTATATTCATAAAATAGCATTTGCATGAGCTGCTGTTATTTATATATATTTTTTACATTAGTTGTTTTAATATATCAGCAGTCCACTTCAGTCTTGGTCCCAGTTTAGCTGTTAGCTTGCACCCCAGTCAGACTTTCTCCAAACTGAGGTCGTTAGCAAAGCTTTTTGAGGTGACATTAATAGTTCATAACCTTTTTACAGAAACCAACTTGGAAAAAAGATCTGAACTGCTACAATGTGTGATGTGTAACACGCCTCAGGTAGACAAGCCTTGGCCATGTTTGTTTTCCTCTACTAGAAACATTTTCAAACAACTGGTTTTGTCTTTTTCATTAGAAGAAAAGTTCAGTTTTTCTTTTTCTATTTYTAACATTGTTTACAGCTGAAAGACAGCTAGCAGGTGGGGACAGGGAAGTGATCTATAATCTAGAATACAACCAATGAAAACTGTACACCGTCACCGGCCTCTCATTAAACTGCAGGAACTGAAAAACAAACTGTACATATCGTTACAATTTAAGCATGGTCCGTTTTTTTGGTTTTTTTCATTTCAAAATAAAATTAGAAAAAACAAATAATCCGGTCAGATTTTTAAGTTTGTTTTTTTTTTTTAACCAAATTTGTAAAACAACAATAGCAAAATTGAAAAAGAGGTTTTCTGAAATTTTTTTATTGGGTAAAGCAAAGACAACTTTTATATTTTGTAAGTGCACCAGTTGTGACCTTCTGGCAGAACCAGAAATCATGGCCTGAACTCCTGAAGCATTATGTTTTCACTTGGCACTTTAGAAACAGCCTTGTTTAGAAGGAGTCGATGCACCTTGAGAGCGATTTTACTGTGATCAAGTTTGCTTTAATATTCTGAGTTTTACAGAATCAGTTTTGAGTGTAGCCATTGCCAAGATCTTTAGGATTTGTTTCTGTTTTTTTGGCAATCTTCCATCTACTATAAACTCTTCTTTGGTGACTTCCTTCATTTCCAGTATCGCTACATATCTAAACAGCAGCTTTATATGTATTGGATTTAAACAGCTGAAGCAAAAATCAAACACTGTGGATTTTTATTCGTTTTATTTGACATTTTTACATTTAGGTTTTGAAAATGGGAAAAAAAATTTAAAAAACTAAAATGGTTGTTTAAATTTAGCTTTTTTTAAAATGGTAAACCTAAAGAACGAAACATGCACAAATGCATTAAGCATTTGATCATTGTCAGAGCTTTTTCAGTTGTTGAGCTAAGTAGGAAATCTTAGCGCTGAGGTGTTTTCAGCTCTCTCAAGAACTTTTTACACCAGCACTTTAATAATGCACCAAATTGTTTTCAGGATTAAARAAATAAAAAATTAAACACTTGACTCAGGCCTCCTTCTTAATTTATTCTAGTCCTTGTTTTCCCCCCATATTCATTACCGTCATTCTTGATGCAAGTGAAATTATCTGTTAGCGCATGTGTTTTATTTATTTATTTTTCTTCAGTAGCAGTAGTAAAGTAGCCTCGGGGCCTGCTCACTGCTCAGCTTGAGTTCCTCGGTGCCGGCAGAGACGTTGCTTGAGCAGACACATTAATTTAGACTGAGGCACGGGKAGTCAGCCAGAGGAGCTGCAGGTAAAGGAATGTGACAACAAAAAACATACTTTCCTAACTGCAGTGTCGGAAAGAGGAAGGAGGAGGGGAGCGCAGGAAGGATTTGGGAGGAGGAGGTGGGGGAAACTGTGGAGTGTGGGGGGGTGAGAGGGAGCAAAGCAGAGACGGCAGGATAGAGGCTGAGTTTTGTCAGGAAACTCTGGCTCTTCTTCACAGGCCCGAGGCTGTCAGTTGTCACTTAAAACATTTTCTCTGCAACAGCCCGGATCATTTCCTGCCCCTCTGCAGGTTTGAGCTGCGTTCTGTGGTCTGGCGTGAACTGAGTAAGAAGCACTGAATGCTGGGATGCGGGCGTCTTTGACACAAACAATTATTGCAACTAGATACAGAACGAAATTGCATTTCTTTTCCTTACAATGTTTGTCGTATTTTCTCTTTTGTGTATTTATCTCCCTTTCCCTCAAGCAACATACATTTCCATTAGCAACCTAATAATAAACAGAAATCACTTCTTGTACTTCTGCTTTAAAAAAAACGACCATTTCCATTAACACCGCAATGCTCCTCCACTCTTCACTACATTTTCTTTTATTGGAATGATTTGTTATTACTCACTTTAATTGGCTGGATTAAAATCCATTCCCCTCATGAACAGGAGGGTTTCATAAATCACACACAACAACACGATTTTGTAGTAAAGCTGATGTTTGTCGTCTGTTCGGCCGGTCAGCAATCGATCACGAAAATACCCATGAATCTTCTTGACAGGTTAAATGGTATTTAAGCCGCAAAAAAAATGAAGTGCCAGCTAACTGGCTCGTGCAACTCTGCATGATATCTTTGACCGTTCTTTGTTCACCACGGCAGCAGAAGTGTTGAACCGTCCTTTAGGCGGACAGAATGCAAACATTTTAATGGTTGCAAGTCGACCGTGTTTAAGCTACAAGTTTCCATAATGACGGTTTTGAAAACACAGACAAGATGCTGCTAAGAGGTGATTAGCTGCCACACTTGTGATTACCACTCATTTGATGATTTATTGGCTTCTAAATGGAAGTATGAAACAGGCTTAGCTTTCTAAATGGAAGTCACCTTGGACAAGAGCATCAGCCGTAATGATCAGCGGTAATGATAAGCAGTTGCGTTTATAAGCTTATTAATGTGATCAGGCGCTCCTCCTAATCCTGTCTTTTACATTAGCTAACAGTCTGAGAATGACTGCTGCCACCTTTTCCTCCTCAGATCCCAGACATTTATTTCCCTCCCTCAGTAATCAATGAAATATATAGCAGATTATTGCTGCAGCACTGAAACACTTTTGTATTTTTCCAGCGTTTTGATACGAGATGATTCCATCTCTGAGCATTTTATTTTCTGTACATATGTTTTCTTACCGCTTTGGCAAACAAGGAGATGACAGCAAGATGAAAAGGGTAAAATGTAATAAATGCTTGTACATCATATTTTGTAGCCTACAGTGAAATACACAGAAATTAGACACTGTTTATAAGAGTGCACCAGCTGGGGTGCTCCTACATGTGTGTGTGTGTGTGCTTGTTTAATGAGTGTCTCCTGTAACGACAAACAGCTATAATATTTTGTACTAATGATTGTATTTGGCAATTCTCCTTCACAGCTCCCATCAACCCTCACCTGAGTAAGTACCATGTTCTCATTTTGCCTCGCTTGTCTGCTTTTTGTCTGTGAAAACAGTGGGGGGGTCTAAATCCCATAGAGAAGTGGCAATCTACATGACTTTAAGTAGAACGAACTACAGACTGGAACATGCATTTACTGACAAAAAAACATTAAGCACCCATACAAAATGTTGAAAATTAAATGGAACTACATGCTGAAGCTTTGTGTGGCTGTATTACAATGATTACAGTATCAAAGCAGCAATTTGGCAAAGGTCTTAAAACTGCAGTATCCTGTCTTGTGACGAGTCGAAGCTCAGCTGGTGTTGCCAGGTCTGAATTTCAGCAGATTTGAATCTACACCTGAGCTAATCACACATATGTTTTATAGGGGTATAAATGTGGATCTGGCTGTCACGTCTCCYGGTCACCACTCCAAACTCCTCCACTTCTGCTGTGGGGTAAATGGCAGCTTACATATGGAGCGGTGAACCTGTGGTCCAGCTGATGTCAGGAAGGATGACATGAGATGTTGTAAACAGTCCCATACATGTGTCTGGATGGCAGATGCAGATGTCACAGAGTTCTGTAGTGCTTGATGTACAGTTCTCCCTACAGTCTTGTGCAACCTGGGGTCTCGTGTGTCAGTGGTGCACACACACACAAAAAGGTTGCGCGTGCCAGGTCCCGCACAAGTCGGGATGTATCAAAATGAATGTTACGTGCAATTGTACGTAATTATAGGCACGTTTTACCTGCTGTGAAAATGTGTGGACAGCCACACAGTTTTAAACCACAAAGTACTGTATCTCACTTAAACGCACAGAAATATGATTCTGTTTTCTAGACGCAAGGAGCAGCTGAACGATGAAACTAAACCACATTTAATCTCAGACAAGAAAACATAAAACACACCTAAAAAGTGTAAAAACAGAAGAAGAAAAAAACTCACTCCAATGTAAACTAAAGTTTCTTATAGTTTTGTTACCTGTAGATGTAAACACAGGTCAGTGACCAACACACCTGTGAGGCACACAGACAGCTGAGGAACATAATGCGTTTGAATTGTCTAAGCCAGTGTTTTAAAATGTAAGGGACACTAGGGTGTGGCTCTGAAAGCTGGAGAGAAGATGAGCAAAAAATGCAAAACTTTAAATCTATTAAACATTTTAAATCATTATCATTAAGTCGAATGGTACAGTGTTTAAAACATGATATAATTATTTTGATAAAGAAATGTAATAATTATGGAACAGAGAATAAGAGTGAGAAAAAAACATTCTAAAAGTTGATTTTTCTTCACATATTTTGTATCGCTGTTTGAGGGTTTGCAAGGGGTGTCCCCGGCAAGAAGCTAATGCTGTTTGGGGGAACAGTCGGCTATTGTACTGCTTGAGTACATCACCACAAGAGGAGTTGGGAAACAGCATGTTTTGGTGGATCACATCGATCAAATACCAATTGGGTATTTAAGTCATCCCTGAGCTGAGCCGTGCAGCTGAATGGGACGACTTCCTGTTTCAGAAATATAAGTCTCCTACACCGCAGCGAAAATACTCCATTGAAGTGATTTGACTCATTTCATCACATCAACTATAGCTCTAAATTTTACGTCACTAAGTTATTCTGTGTTTACAGTAATTATGTTATTAAAGGCATGCAGGAAGCTGGTAATGTCCCAGCCTCAGAAATATGACAGTAGTTGCGTTTCCATTGACCATGAAAATGCACAACTTAGAATTTTGAAAATGAATTTGCTCAATGGAAACACGTCAATTTCAAAAACGTCCTTTTTTCGAAAAAAAGGTTTTTATGCTAGGATGAGGTGGTTTTTCAGCCGTATCAAAAYTGGTGTGTTTCGCAAAACTGCAATGGAAACAATTTTTTCGCATCACAGGAGTCACGTGATCAACAACTGGCTGTTTTCTACTGGTGAAGAAGACGACGACGAAGAAGACAACAGGAAGTAGAAGTAGCAGTAAAATCAATGAAGTTGTAAAAGAAAGTAATGAACTCACCGACTACAATTTCCCAAAAATGCCGCATACGTAGCAGCTCCCAGGTATAAGGGGCTTGTCGCTCAAAAACCTCGATAAGATGCCAGCGTGACCTCTGATGGCTSATGATGAGCGCTATGTGTTTACATCCATGGCCACCATGTTTGTAATGACTTATCGCGAGAACAAACTTATTCACGCGTGACTTTAATAGCGTTTCTTACTTAATGGAAACACCGCAATTGCCAAACTGTTTTTCTTCGACATTAACAGAATATCGACACAAAGTTTTGCGCACATTTGCAATGGAAACACAGCTAGTGACAGATTGGCACCACGGTTTAGTTAATCCATTGACAGCTGGACATGTTTGCATCTATTTTCCAATTTTGAATGGTAGCATGTCAGAGGAGGTGTCTCAGGTGTCCTCAGTTCCCCATTTGGTGGGATGCATGAATAAAAAGTTGCACAGAAACATGCGTACGCACCATTTGATACATCTGAATATTTCTGTGCGTACACCAACTTTCATTAAAAAAACTGTGTACTGTTTGATACATAAAGCCCCAGAACCTTCATAACTTGTCTCTGTCTTCAAGTACCCAGTTGTTCCAACATCAGAACACTGTGACATCTGTATCGCTCACATGCCATGTATACAATTAGCCTGTCTTATGGAAACCCACAATGCGACCCCTATCAAACTGTCATGGTGATAATGCTGTCTCATGTGTCTACAAGGCATATTCTGTGGTGACTTTCACATGCTGTTTTGACCTACTGTCAACTGTTGCTCCACTTGATATGCTGACATCTAAACCCTCTGGTGTCCATTTTAAACATATCAGCTCCTACAGTGCACATCACTGATCAGCATGTAAGCCAGATTCCAGTATGTCTAAATCTGACCATTCCCTCTGAGTACTTAACTGTTTTTGTCAGTGAGTTCCGTTCCTAAACATTTCCTTAGACGCAACAAATAAATTTGAATGAGATCATTTGACATTTGGGGGCTCCATAAAGTACTTGACACTGAGTTTTATTGCTTTATTTTAGCGTGCTCCCACATGATAAAGTATCTAGTTTCTTTGGAGGTTAAATCAAAATGGATTACTGGAAGTTATAAATCAATATCTAAAACACACTACACCACATTAAAGGGATTTTATTGAGCCATGCAAGCCAAGAGGGACATTTTACATTTGGGAATAGAATATTTGCATGTCTGCATGTAAGTATATTTGCATGTTTGGTGCTTTGTGAACATTGTTTATGATAAATCTGTGCCATATGTTTAAATTATTTAAATTTAGACTCATTTGTTGTGCATTTTATAGATGAAACTTTACAAATTCACATTATTCATGTCTTGAAAATCCACATTTAATCATTGTTTACTGTTGCCGCAGTGCGTCATCGCATATAGTGGATTATATATTTGTATCCAGTTGATTTATATTTTGGTGGGTGTTCACAAGAACAGTGCCAACACAATAACAAACATCCTAATCACCGGCATCATTATCCAAATCCCCACAGGAAGCCATCTTACCTGAACGCCTCCTCGTTCGACCCTCAATCCTCCACCCGTCCCGCAAATTCTCCCATCTCTCTTGCAGAGAGCGCAGAAAAGCAAAAACGTTTAGTTCAGCCTGACGGTGGTCGGGGGGTGTTAATGTCTCACACCAACCCTGCATTTAAATCTACATACCTGCGAGGAGAAAAGTCAAGAGCGCCTGTAAATGCAGCCGCATCCCTCTCCTTTTCCCACGTCTCTCGGCCTCACAGCGTTGCTGCCCTTTTCCCTCTTCAGTCTATCCACCCACTCTCCTCCTCCGCCTCTGTTACCTCCATTACCTGAGCAGAAGCTGCAGATCTGTGCTCCTCTCAAGGTCACCACTCCAAGCTGCTCCCAGCCACGTTTTAATAAATCAATGAATAATAATCAGCGAGCACGATGCATTTAAATGCTCCTCATTTACTATCTATTTGAAGACTTTGCTTAGCAAAACCATCTCCTCCAGTTATGTGTTAACTTTGTTTGTTTAACATGGATTAAATGGAAGTTCTGACACTGTTGATCCTGCTGCTACGCTCTCATTAAACCGAATGCGTCGGCTCTTTACGTGAGGGATTTTTAACCAATCATTAGCATATTCACTGTTAGGCATTTCCCTCAACATGACCCGTCCTAACCTCATATGAGTTACAATTACCCTTTCATTCCTTTAAGGTGAAAAGGACGCACACTTTCATTCTGTCTACACACTCCGCTGTTGTAAAAATTGCTGTCAAAGGGGCTTGCAGAGGAGAGAAAGGCGTACGGTATCTCCACCTTGGAGATGAAAAATGATGGAGAAGGAAGGATATGATGCTGGTTTTCAAACTGATTATACAGAGTGCTACAAATGAGAAGTTCTGAAAAACATACAAGGACATCCAGCTCATTTCTCTCTCTGCACATGTTCAAGAAGTAGTAGTTCAACAAATTCTGGAAAAAAAATCTGTGTTAAACAATAGTTGCAAGCCCTGAGAGTAATGTTGTACAAGAGATTTGCATTTAGTTTTACACTCTTTCCTGGGGCTGAATGTTGGATGTTATCCATTACGCCTCAGTAATGACTTTCCTGAGACTTCCACCCTCACAAACACAGCATGCTTACGTGTTGTAGTGTATGGCAGGTCATTGTATCATATAATCTCAACACACTTCTATCTTTGTTTTTTRTATACTATATATATAAATCAGTATTTCATATTTTTCTTTTCAAATGACAATTATTAGTCAAAACTGAAAAAGATTTCTAAAATAGCATTCCTACTAATAAACATGAAAGAAATAAACAATGTGACCTTTTTTTTAAAGACCGTTTAATTTATTGCATATATATATAATTCATTTTTTGTATACCACAAAGTAGAGTATACAGAAAGACATTCATCCTATCCATAAGCAATATTTCACTTTCAAAATACACAAGTCCACTGTTGTAGGAATAAAATAAAATTAAAATTAAATAAATACAATAAAACAAAGAGAAACTAACTTGGATATCAAGCATGTTGCTGTAACTAATCATTACTTTTCATTTAAACTGTTTGATGTTAAAATTGTATATCTATAATNACATACATACATACATACATACATATATGTTTATGTTCCCTAATTACCATATAATTATGTATACATTAATACATAGTAAATTATAGTATATCACTATGTTAGTAAACTACTTTTAGTGGGTAACTACAAATTAAACTAGAGAAATTGCATTTCCCACAAAAATGCAAGTGTGAATGCATGTTGCTAAAAACTTTAGCTGAAAGCTGCTGAAGAAGCTGAAAYTGAGCTGAACATGTTTAATAGTGAAAGTACAAGAGTATGTTGCATTTGAAAAGCGAAAAAAGCTAAATAAGTGCAGAAAACACTAAAAAGGAGCAAAAATATAGCTGAAATAGCACAAAAATGCTAAACGCTAAAGGCTAAAATAGCTGAACATAGCAGAAAGCAACCGTCAGAAGAACAAATAACTCAAATTAGCAGAAAGAAGCGCAAAAAAAGTAAAAGAAGCAGAAGAATAGTAGAAGGAAGAAGAATTTTAGCTAAAATATCTGAAAAAAGCTAAAACCAGCAAAAATGTAGCTAAAATTTTCACTAAGACATTAAAAGGAGCAAAACCAGAATATAATGTGTAAGGTTCTGTAAAGATTTGGAAACATTATGAAGACATTTAAGGATGTTGAATAAAGCTCCATTCATTTCCAATTGGAAAAAAGTAGCCAAAATAGCTTTGGCTACAATTGTTGAATTTTCTTGAGACTTCAGTATATTATAGAGCTTGCTCTCAGCTACCAGTACATAAGTTTTCATGTCAATATCTCAAACACTGGCTGAGTTAAGGCCTTCAAAACTAACTTTGGCGGCCATCTTGAATTTGTTTTGGCTGCCATTTATGATAGAGCTAAGTCTCAGGTAAATATATTTTGATTTATAGCTCATTATATCAAAAATTGTCCAAATTCAGGTAATTTGAACTAATTTTAGCAAATAACAGCTAAACTTTAGCTAAAATTGCAGCAAATAGCTACTAAATATTGCAGAAATCTACTGTAAGAAGCATACATAGCACAAATCAGCAGAAAAAATATAACAAAGCAGAAAAGTGCAGAAGAATAGCAGAAATAACTAACATTTAGCTAATTTAGCAGCAAAAAGCWAAAGTTAGCATAAAAAKAAGCTAAAGGTCGCAGACTCAAGTTGAAAGTAGCACCCAGATGATGGAGTGGTTGTAAAAAATCCAAATTAGCAGAAAAACCCCCATAAAATTATTAAAAAGTCATCATTTGTGGTAAAATARWTAAAACAGCCAAAGTTTTCAGTAAAACAGCTAAAAAGAAGCTGAAAACATTTTAATTATCATAAGGATGCTTAAGAAGCCCAAGTTAACTGAATTTAACAGAATAAAGTTGAAATAGCTCTGAAAAATATGTAATTAGCTTAGAAAGCTAATTTTGGCTAATAACAGCTAAAATTTGGCTAATTATGTAGCAAAAAGCTGAATACATAAGAAAGCAACTGTAAGAAACATAAATAGCACAAATTAGCAGAAAAAGTATAACAAGGCAGAAAAAAGCAGAGGAAAAGCAGAAAGAAGTGGAATTTTAGCTACTATAGCAGCAAAACAGCTAAAGTTAGCATAAAAATAAGCTTAAGGTAGCAGACTCAAGTTGAGAGCAGCACCAGATTGTGAAATGGTTGTAAAAAATTCCAAATTAGCAGGAAAAAAAACAAAACTACTAAAAAGGGATAATTTGAAGTAAAATAGGTAAAACAGCAGAAGTTTTAAGTAAAACAGCTAAAAACTGGACAAACATTTTAATTAGCTTAAGGATGCATACGGAGCATGAGTTTGCTGAATTAAGCAGAACAAAGTTGAAATAGCTCCAAAAAATGTGAAATTAGCTTCGAAAGCTAACTTTAGCTAATAACAACTAAAATTAAGCTAAATTTGTWGCAAATAGCTGAATATAGCAGAAAGCAACTGTAAGAAGCATAAATAGCACAAATTAGCTGAAAAGTACAACAAAGCAGAACAAAGCTGAAAAATAGCAGAAAGGAGTAGAATTTTAGCTAATATAACAGAAAAAAGCTAAAATTAGAAAAAAGTAGCTAAAATTTGCACAAGAGAGTAAAATAGAGCATAACCAGAACAAATTAAGTAAGGTTTTGTAAAGATTTAGAAACTATTTGAAGGATTTTTATGGTTGCTGAAAATAGCCCCATTCAATGGGAAAAAAGTGGCTAAAAAGTTGAAATAGCTAAAAAATATAAATAGCTGAAATACCAAAAGTCATAGCCTGCATTGCACGAAAGAGCTGAACGTTTTGATATATAAATGTTTGAAGTAGCACAAAAATTGTCGAACGAGAAAGGTGCCGAAAAACGTACGGAAAAAAAATTATCTCAAAGGTGTGAATACCAAACAGACATTTACACAATTACTATTAATATTACCTCGGTTACATACTATTAACCAAAAGAATCCAACTAATTACAGATAGTTAGTGGGTTATAATTATTACCTACCATTTACTTATGTGTTACACAGTTGTAACATATTGGCAGGTAAGTATAGTATTAGGATACCAAGTAATTACATAGTAAAATAATGTTCCTTATATGTAAATACTAAGTAATTGCATGGTATTTAGGGGACTGTAAAAGAAAGGGAAACTCTGAAGAATGAGGAGGAATAATGCTCAACTTATGTAAAAAATAAAAACAAACAAAAACTGAGTGAATTAATAGACAGAGACTGATGGGGAGAGTGGACAAGCCGACATGGAGACCTCAGATTATTTGAGAACAAAAATATCTAAATCTATAGGAGTACTGTATAAAGTCAGGGAGTTATTCAGTGACAAAGCTCTGCTTGTTGTTGTACAATTTAAAAATGGTTCCACATTTAATTTACTGTGTTGAAATCTGATTTGTTGTTTGAGTTGAYATTTTTATGTTTTGTTTTAATTTCAGAATTATATAATTGATAACTGGGATATCTTTTCATTTTAGATGTCTAAACTGTAACCTATGATAAATAGCAAAAATATTGTAGAGAGCTGAAAGTACAGCAGCAGTGGGTTGATTTCAACATGTCCTCAGTCATTTCATAAATCACACAGGAACCCTAAAGAGACATCTCAGTCCCAGCTGAAATGTTTTATAAAAGGGGTTTTAGGAGGAACTTGTACTTTTGGAAAACTAAAACTGAAGGTCTAACATATGAATGGCTCAAGTGACTATATGTTCGAGGAGAAACTATGGTTAAGATTTCTGACACACTGATTGTGGMTAGGACAAAAGACATTCTGGATATCTGAAAAGTTCCCTTTTACATAAAATAGTTTGTATTATGAACATCTGCTTTAAGGATCTTGTGTAACTTTTATGATAAATGATCAGTTGGCTTGCTGTATGGGTTCTGAATCAAATAATTTGTTATTAAAACCATCCACTGCAGTCACAGAGAGGCCACATCTTAATTTAGAAATTGTGTGCACCAGATTGCATAATGTAATTAGGAATTAGGCTGTTGTATGTCCCCCGGAGACAGACGCGCTGTAGGAAATCTCATCCATATACAGAAGGTATCACACTGCTCACATGTATCACTGCAGCTTCCAGGCAGTTTGTAGCTTCTCACTGTTTAATGATGATGTGAACATCCAGCTCTGCTCTGCCCGATCACCAGGGGAGTTCCACTGCAGCTTTGAGGAGGAGCCCATCTGCATGTTTACCCAGGACAAGAACGATGATTTTGATTGGACACGGCACAGCGCTGCCACCCGCGACACCAAGTACACACCCAACACTGGTCCCAGTGCCGACCGCACTGGTTCAAAGCAGGGTAAGTGGATTTGAAACTCTAAACATACCCAAAACCACTTCTAAAAAATGACAACTATTATGTTTGCAAGCATCTTCAGGCATCATTTCCTAACCAGTCAGCTTAGAAGTATGTTACCTGACAGAATCAGTTTATTCTTAAAGGCTGTATTAAGGGAAATAATATCTGTTATTGGCTTTATGTTACATAAATCTGCTCACATTAGTTTGCTTTCTGTAAATGAAGAAGGTGGATTCATTTAAATTTACATAAAAAAACAAAAACCTATCTTTCAAAAAATAATATGTAAGTTATTGTTTTTCCTTTTTTACATTTCTTAAATCTTATCTATGTTAAACAGCAGGTACATCACAGGGACTCGAATAAATGCAGTAAAAACTGGATTGTCTTTGGCTGTTTTTTTTTTTTGTTTGTTTTTTTGCCTTAACAAACCACATGACAAATTTCAGATTGTTTTGATATATATTAGAATATGTCCACAGTTTTTGTTTTTCATGACAAAAAAAGAAAGAAAAGAAAAACACTAGAAACTGCTGCTGCTTGTCACAATGCTGATTTCCCAGCTCATATGTTAGTAAAACCACAACATTTCCCAGTAACATTTAGAGCCTGAGAAGCAGTGACAGTGACAAGACCAGCATCTCTTTAAAACGGTTCCAAATTTTTTAGCGATAAGCATTTGGATTTTCRGAAAAGCCACTTCTCTTTTAGATAGGAAACATTTTAAAATGAATTGTAGTCAGGAAAAAGCACTCTGCGAGTCGCAGCAAGACGCTGTCACAGTTTTCTGCCTCCCTTTTGTTTTTACCTCACAAACACAGACGACCTCAATTTGAATCACTTCATTTAGGTTTTGTTTATTTTTTCACCTCTAATTTGCCTTTGAGCGTTATCCAATTAGCCATCTGTGACATACTTTACCTACACAGTGATCTATCCTGACAATGACTTTATAATAACTTTATTAAACTAGAGCACAACAACAAAATATAAAAGTCATGTAAAAACGATTTAAACAACATTTCTTATTAGGATTAGAAAATGAAACAACACATTAGGGAATGGTTTGACAGTGAAGCCCAGATGAATCATGAATTGATTTAAGTTTGTTAATCACCAGCTGGCTGTTGCATCTTTTCAGAATTTCTATTCGCACACTAAGCAAAGACACCATCTTTGGGGACCACCTTGACTTTCCTGCCCACCTGCTCTTTAGACTAAAAGCACCCATTTCTTTTATAACATCATTCAGGCAGAATCCACTGTCTTGTGAATTTCATGTTCATTCTTGTGCCTTTTTATTTATTTGTTTTGCCTTATAGTTATTCTTAAAAGACCATTTGAATTATTTATATAAACAAGTCTTTGGATAGTTGTTTGGCTATGTGACGTGATCAAAAGTTGAATTTCAGAGCAAATTAGAGGCCCAAATCATTTTACACAGAGCTTCACATTTATAAAACTGAAACATCAAAGATTCTATGTCATATAAACTTGCACTAAAATTAGAAACTGAAAATATATGTTTTCAGGATGTGTTTGCATGATAAAGAGTTGTTCATGTGTTTTATATGTGTATACTTTAAAAGTACAGATAAAAAAGGTGGTACAAGTCTTCGGCTGTATGAAGGCCTTTAGCTGGGTGGTGATAAAAGAACCCAAATCCAAGAATGCAGAAAGCAAGTTACAGAGATCCAAAAAATGTGCAATAACTGATTTATTGGAACTGTAAAGGTCATATATTAAACAGTAGGGAGGGCCAAAGCAGAGACAAACAACAGAAACAAAACTGAAGACACAGAGAATCACAGAAACACAATCAGAAACCAGAAGCAGATTGAGATCTTATATTTTGCTAAAACAGATGAGAAACACAAACACACATAGAAGTGGCAAACTATACAATCACTCGCCTTTTATAATAAATCTGAACCTAGAACCATGTATTCTGTGCTAACAGTGACAAGGTTGCCCTTTGTCACCGATTCTGTTCATAACTTTTATGTACAGAATTTCTTGGCGCAGCCGAGGTGTTGAGGGGATCCRTTTTGGTGACCTTAGGATCACATCTCTGCTTTTTGWGGATGATGTGGTCCTATYGGCTTCATCAGATCRKGATCTCCAGCTCTCACTGGTGGCCTCCTGGACACCTCCYTGGTGAGGTGTTCCAGGCMCGTCCCACTGGGAGGAGACCCAGAGGAAGACCCAAGACACGCTGGAGGGACTATGTTTCTCAGCTGACCTGGGARCRCCTTGGGATTCCCCYRGAKGAGCTGGCCCARGTGDCTGGRGMGAGGGAAGTCTGGGTCTCTCTGCTTAGGCTGCTGCCCCCACGACCCAATCCCAGATAAGCAGAAGAAAACGGACGGACGGACAGTGGCTCTGACAACATRCCTGCTTTATGAACTGAGAAAAGTTATTTAAATATTCATGTTATTATGAGATAAATGAGTCCCCAAAGCTCAGGAAAACAYTGGGATTATTGCCTTTGGAAATAATGTGACAAGATAGAAAAAAAATCATAATATTTTGATAAAGTCATATCTTTATTTTCAAGCACGCTATTAAAATTTCCACTTTGTAAAATGAGAAAATGGGTTTGTTTGATTTTGTTTTTACTTCATAATAGACTATTTCACCTCTGCTTATTGTACAACTCAGCCTTGATTTTTTTTTCATGCTTGCTTTCAGTTTTGTCTTGTAAATAAGTCTCCATTGCTGTTTCTTTGATCCAAAATATGCGAAATTTTAAAATACTTTACAAGTATCTTGTCATTTTTAACTTCTTAGGAATTGTCAGAATAAAATCAAATATGTTGAATCCAGGCTTTCCATATGACTGCTCCAATGGAAGTTAAGTATAAATGCCTATTATGCTGGCCTGGCACCGGCAGCAGCTGAAGCAGTAAATAATGCAGTGGCTTTAATCACCTAATGGTTTCAAAATGTCTAGCATTTCATTACCAGCCCCATTCCTCTGTGCGTGTAATTATCTGGATATGAGATTCAACAGAGGGAGATATTCCCTTTGATTTTGGCGGGAGGGGCGTGGAGCTGCTCACCAGCCACCTTCCCTGTGCCTGTGGCGGGCCACCGATTGGCTCCAGATTATTTGGCTCCGACACAATCAGAAGCCTGTCTGACTTTCTGGTGTCATCGCTGCTGCCCCACAACTGTCAGACAGAGGGGGGAGAAATTTAGCCTTGTTTTTATCACACTGATAGGCCCTGGGTTGTGGCAATTAGGAAACAGGGAACTTTAGAGAAAATATCTATCACTAAATTTACTCATAGTTATCATTCAGTACATCCATTTTAGAGTAACCCAGTCAAACACAGTGAGCTTTCCAATAAACATATTCAGATACTACTGTATACTATAATGTTTAAATAATTTAATTTGATGTATTTGGTTTTCCACTTCGAGGACTGTGTAGGTCTTTTAAAAGAGTTTCTGTACAAACATTGCCTCACCTGTTTGAGATGTCTCTGCTTTACAAGTCTGTCCATAACCACCTTGCATTACATGATTACTGATTTAGGATTATGTGATTATTAGCAAACAAACAGAAGCAGTRATTAGCTACAACACTTCATTAGCCTGGGAGTAATGCAAAATTAAAAACAGTGGAAAGKTTTATTAAATCAATGCTCACTTTAGTTGCTTAGATGTTTTATTGTTATTTTTTAGATTGAAGTTAAAAGACAGCAGCTCAGACCAGCCATTAGCCCACATTGCTAAGCAAATAGCTAACACATGCATTCATGCATTTTTTT